GTCAAATCTGCAATTCCATTCTTGGAAACATTTTTTCAAACACATCTATTTGGATATCTGACAGCACCTCCCTCGTGTTTTTCTTCTACATCATCAAATCGCTGTCCTTTCGTGTCCCTCTTCGTTCACAGAAACAAAATGAAGTCACATGGAGGGAGGTCAGGTGAGTCAGGTGCTTGGGGCAAGAGAGGCATGCTGTTCTTTGGCAAAAATTGTGATGGCTAAGTGAGCAGGTACATTGTTGTGGTGCCAAAACCAGTTCCCCATCTGCCACAAATCAGGACTTTAGAAAGCTTGATTAAAAGTCTAACCTGGTGGAATGAACTCCAAATGCACTATTCCCCTCACATTAAAAAAACAAATGAGTATTGGTTTTGGGGGGGATACCCTCTCCTATACATTTATATATACATTTCATTTTAGGAATACTGAAATACTAATGTTTGATAAATAAGCATCAGTATAGATTCTGTTAGTAGTATGAAATAGATAATAATGATACTATATTATTTAGTCAGGAAATCCCCAAATAAAATTTAAAAAGATATCTGTTCTCAAAGTTTGGGATATAAAATAGTGAACCTCAATAAAGTGGCATGTTATAAGTTCCACGTATTTGATTTACCACCTCCTTTTCAGAACAAAGTAGTAACGAAAACTTTGTCCCGTAGCCCATAAACCATGAAAAAGTGTAGGGATCTGCTTTTGGAGCAGCCCTCATTCCTCCAGATCACCAGTGAAAAAACAGGGACAAAGTCCCCTAGTACCTTACCAAACATACTGAAAAACATCCCATTAGAGAAGACAAAATAAGAGAACTGGGACCTTCTAAAAATACAACATTTATGCACATCAAGACCAACAGGAAGGGGGGGGAAGAGAACCCACAGATTGAGAAAAAGTATTTAACAATGATATATCAGGAAAAGGGCTAATTTAAAATATCTATAGAAAACTACAAACTTAATAAGAAAATACAAATAGCCCAATCAAAAATGGAGCAAAAACTAAAAGACAATTTACTAAAGATGGTATCGAGGAGGCCAAAATCAATATGAAGAAATGCTCAAGTTCATTGGCCATAAAAGAAATACAAATTATCACAATAATAAACCACCTCACACTGACAGCAAAATAAAAATTGGGGGAGGGAGAAAATAATAAATGAAGAGGATGCAGAGAGACTGAATACTTATACAATGCTGGTGGATTATAGAACTATATAAACATGATGGAAATCAGTACGGCACTTCCTTAAACAGATGCAAATACAAATACTTTATGATCCTACAACATCTCTCCTGGGTGCATACCCTGGAGAAAGAAAGAACAATGCATGGACACGCATACCTACATATGCAATGTATGCTGTTTATTGCAGCAATTCCAATAACAGCAAAAAGACAGAAACAATAAAAAAACACTACATAGGAATGAATAAACAAACTGGTACATTCAGACAAGGGAAAATTATACATTCTGGAAAAAAACATGAGAGTGTCAAACACCTTAAGATATGGACTAAATTAATGAACATTATGCTCAGCAGAGTTGGCTAATCTCATAAATATTCTGTGACCCATTACACAACAAAAACAGCTTTCACATTAAGCGAAA